TGTTGCTGAGTGAGAGTAGGGATCACCACGTTATCCATGAAAAAGGAAGTTCCTAGTATAGTTCTTGTCTTAAAGGACATCATCTAATTAACTTGTCCCTCTTGAGACTTTTTTGTTCGATTATTGTGGAAATGAGGTGGGAAACTTATTATCTGGTAGCAATTATCACAGGTATGTCCCCGTCGATGACAATAAGAATACTCATCTGTGCTAATGCCTTTGCCTCTTCCTCGACTACGTCCCCTTGGCCCATTACAACCACCTCTTGCTACCATAATTATAGTTTCACTGGAAGGGGAAGGAGTAGATGTAATACTGAGTAGTTGTTGCTCCTTTTCTTGGGAAGCCATAGCATAAGCCTGGTTGATTGATGGGAGGGGACTTAAAAGGAGGATATGACTCCATACTTGCAGATAGGATTCATTTAAGCCTATAAGAAACTGAAACAACTTTTGATCTTGAATGATACGAGCATATTCACGTGAAATTTAACACTGGTATGTGGGAATAACAATGACATTGGTGTGTTCATCCCAAAGATCCTTCAATTTAGAATAATACTGAGATAGTGTTATGGTCCTATGGCTCAAGGTATGAATAGCTTAGTGAAGACTAAAAATCTTGGTTGCAACTCATCAAAATGCTCCTTTAAATCCATCCATACCACAGTTGAAGATTCAGAGAAGGTAAGACCATTTGAGAGCTCCTTATTGACTTGACTGAATTAATAATCAAGGACAGCACTACTGTATTACATCAATCCCACTGAGATTTGTATAAATCTAGTTGAGCTTTACGAATACAAGAACCATCAACAAACCCCAACTTGTTCTTCCCTAACAATGTGATCTGCATCACTTAACTTTATCTCGGATAATTGATAAAATCGACTAATGGATTTAGAACAAGAGTCATCGCCTGTGTGTCTGAAGGGTGCAAATAGAGGGGATGTTGGCAATCAATCTTGGGTAGACCTTCGTGTTCACCACCCATTTGGAATGCTCAAACTTGCTCGATCTGGATGGTGACAAGATAAAGATTTAGAGACGATCTAGACAAAGAGAGCGATATAAGAACGTTGATCGAATCGTGATGATAAGATACAGAAACTCTGATTAGATCTTGACGATGAAAGGGAAAAGTAATCTGTTTCACTAGGACAAGGAAGAATGATTTGGCGACTAGGTGTGTGATGATGAGGAAGAAAATAAATCTTGGATCTATGTGTGGTCAAAGAACATCACGGATAGGGTTTCAAGAAACTAGATCTTGAACCTCAATCCGAGTTAACCACTAACTTGACCCATAGAGAGCAAAGCCCAACCTGGCTGGCTTTGGTACCATATTGAACCTTAAAGTTCAAAAATAAATTATACAAAAAACTATTATTGAATTGATAATAATACACTAATTATCTCGCACATAATCCCTTGATTTGAACATATATATATACATACACAAATAACAAACTATTTGCTAACTGGGTTAAAGGGGCTGATGCCCACACTTATTATTAGGCTCGATAATATATATATTCAAATATAAATCCATTTCTTATCATATATTTTTTTAATAATTTCAAATTCCCTTTGTATCATAGTTATTTAAAATTTCAGCTATTCCATTGATTTTGTTCTCTTTATGTTTTCATAGTTGATGTTTTTGTCACTTTTGCCTCTCCTCTTATCTCTTGTTTTCACCTCTTGTTGATTAAACAATACAAGTAAACCCGTCAATCTTAATCTTTAATTTTTTTTTATTTTGAATATCAACTTGTCTCTCTTCATCTTGTAAAATTTTTTATACAATCAAAACAAATTATTGCAATACATGAAATTTAAATGTGAGATTTTAAACTTTAAATTCAAATCCAAATTTATCAATTCAAATTTTTTCTGAACGTTTACTAAAACTTCCCATAAATTATCAAGAACATCATATATTTCACCATAAGAAATTAGGAAATCACGTTTGATCACGTTTCTAAAGAAACCAACCGTTGCATCGATCATCTATCCCATAAGGCTTCAAGAGAATATTTTAATATTACCTTATTTGACAAATCGCTTGCAAACTGTACAAGCCTTTTGGCTTTTGACATGACCTAATATTTTGATTTTGGTCTTCTTGCATGGTTTTACCATGGCCATGTATTAAAAAAAACTTCCCAAAGAAAAACTATGAATACTTAAACTTCTCGGTCCGTAGATTTTATTATAATGAAAAGTATCAAGCATGGAAAAAAAATTAGGCAAAGAACTGAAAATATAATTATTTTAAAGATTGAATAGTTTATTTCCTTAAAAGAATTGAAAATTTGAGGGGAAATTAAGGGTCCATTTGGTTTTCCTCCATTTCACATTCAAAAAGAAAAATTTTACTTTCAAAAAATTAGAAATTGTTTGGGTAGAATATTTTACAGGAAAACACATCCTAAAAGTACATTCAAACAGTAGCTGAAAGTGAATTTCTGAATCGTAACTATTTAAAGCTTTTGAAAAGTAGGATGTTATTTGACCATACTACCCTAAGTTTAATCTCTTATTCTTTTATTTAAAAAATAGTTAATTCATTAAAAATGTAATTATTATTTTAATAATAATAATTAGGTATCAATTTTTTTAGTAATATAAATTAAATAATTAATTATATTAATTTTTAGCATTAATGTATAATAAAAATTACAAATCTTTACTACATCTTTTAAAATTATAAATTAAAAAAATACAAATAACTAGAGATTAAATTTTTAACATTATAGATCAAAATTTATGTTATTTGAAATATTTATTATATTTTTTAAATATTTTAAATATATTATATTTTTATAATAAAAATTATAAATTATTATAAATTAATGTCTTTTTTATTAATTGTACATACAAAAGCACATTTCATTATCACAAACCAAACAACTTTCAATGTATCAAACTAACTTTTAAAAAAATATATTCAAATGTAAATTTTATTACAATAATTGACTTTTACTAAATTAATTTTTATCAATTGGACTTTTACTAAATAAATTTTTAATAAATTAAAAACTAAACGCACACTAGATTAAGCACGTGGTTCCTATGTATTATATGTTTGGAACAAAAACTATTAGCCCGTTAAGCTTTAATGACCATGAAGAACGTAGTGTACAAGGCCAACCCAGTAGCTCAACTCACAAATGAGAGCCTAATATTTTATTTTTTTTGCTTGTAATTTCCTCGCAGACTACTTTATTTGTTTCCTCCTACTAATGGGCCTTGGGCGAAGGCCCATTTCCTTTCTTAAAAAAAAAAAAACGATCTCCGGAAGAACCGAAGGATTTTATTTCATATTTTTGGGCAGAGACCGAATGAATTTAAAAAGTAAGGACTAATGAGGATGCGAAGGTTTTTTTTTTTTTTTTTTAAGAAACCAATTAAATATAGACATGCCATTATACAACTCATTCATCCAGCCTCCTGATTTGTATCTTTATTTTAACTTTAAATTTTAGTTGTAAATCTAACAAAATCTTGATCTGGCAACAAACTAATATTAGTTATCTATATAAATAAAGTAAACCTAACTCAATATTAAATTATATTTGACAACCCATTCTCTTAACTTCAAATGACAAAACGATTTTTCTTCTTTTTTTTTCACTTTGTGACGGAAAAAAAAATTGTTACTGAAAGTGAGGAAAGTATAGTTTGCTAAGAGTGTCATAGGGATTGTGGAGAAACAAACTTATTGTTAGTTACATTGCATAGAATTAAAAATCCAATTGAAAATTTGAAATAGTTCGTCACCAAAGTTTGAAACTAAGAAAATAAATTGGTAAATTAAGAATAATTGTTGTGTTCTGAAATGAAGAAAATGAGCAATTGGGATGTGAATAAGATGCATGTCCAATTGAAGCAATCCACATTACAACGTCAGATAGTTGTATATGGTCACCTAATTTAGTTCATACTCGAGCATTGTCAATGGGCTTAACATCTCAACCCATGGTGTTAGTGATTGGTGCAGCCTCTCAAGAAAACTTAAGGAAATAGCATTGCGTGTTGACAAACAGTTATAACTTTTGGCCTAATAACTGCTCGATCCTACATTTAGTATTAAAGTCAAGTCATGGATTCAAATCCCCTAAATGTTGTTTTGGGGAGAGATTATTAGAAAAAGTTTGGTCAACGTCTTCTATACAATTCAATAGACTTAGCATTTTAATACATGGCACTAGTGACTAGTGCATCCTTTCAAAAAGGCTTAAAGAAATAGAGTTGCATCCTGACTAATAGCTATAACTTTTTATTTAGGGGTTGCGCTTGATCCTCCAAAGTGTTTTTTTTTTTTTTTGTATTCATACATATATTCACACTTGAGACATTATATTTAAATGATTATAACTCATTTTACTAAAATCACCGCCTATAAATACTTTTCATCAAGGTATTAAAAGTCAATTTAACTAAAACTTTTTGTCAATTTAGCTAGAACCTAAGTTCAAAGGTTAATGGATTAAAATCATAGTGAAACAATAATTAAATTGATCATAAATAAAATATTTTATTTAATTGATCAAGATACATGTTTATTCAAATAAGTGAGTTGACTTGTACCTCCATACTAAATGCTGTTTATGAATTTGAAAAGTGACAGCTTTTAGAAAATAATAACATATTTGAGGAGTATCGCGGCTTCTAGAATTGATTCTTCCCAACCCCTACATTTTGGTCCCCCCCCCCCCCCCCAATCTGTGTCTTCTCATGCTCACTTCAGATTCACTCACAGAATTGCAACATTGAATAGTTATTAACCTATGAATTGCAATGAAGTACAATTCTTTATTTTCTTCTTTTTCCTTTTAAGTAAAATATGATTTTGAATTATGGAAACCAAACTGACAATATTTTTATAAGATGATGGGAAGCAGATGTGATTCCACACTCCACAGAAATTGGTGGAACTTGGAACAGAATAACACCAGGATTGGATCTGGCTGCTCCATATACATATGGATGTCATTGAAAAATTAGACCATATTATTGAAACTGTTGGCACTAAAATAGAAGTACAAGTATTCTTCTCACAGCGAAGTCTAATTAAAATGAAACTGGAAGCTCTCATGGGCATGCCAAGAATAAAAATAAAAAGACACCAGCATGCAGTGGAACTCATTTTCACCACCACAAGTCAATAACCGCTGTGACCCATTGAAATTCTGACATCGTCTCCACCGGGATCTCTGCACATGTCGAGATATTCCATTGCAGATGCTAAACTAGAATACATACATTCATGCATATCTACTCAACCTAAAATTCTAAGGCACAGGAAGTCCAAGTAAACGGATACGACATGTCTCAGATAGCAGACCAATCAATCTCAACGGAAGGATATCTGTCCAAACCGACAACCTCTGTTTCATCCACTTTAGAATCGGAGAAATCCAAGTAAGTAATCTCCGATTCATCGGACGACGAGGCTAAGTTGGAAAGAGTACAAGATTCATGATCGTTCTGAGGCTTCTCTGCATTATTATTAATGCTCTGTTTCTGGGAAGTCTCTGTCTCTGCTAAGCTTTCACAAATAGCTCGGAGCTTGGCGTCCACAGCCGAGGGAAGAGGCTTGTAGGCACCGAATTCACCAAACACATGAGCTCCATGGTGGCGTAAGTGAGGGAAATTGAGCCGAGCAAAGTCTCCTCTGAGCTTATGGGCGGCGCTGTCGTAAGCGAAAGCAGCCTCCTCTGCAGTATGGAAGGTGCCGAGCCAGAGTCGAGTACGGTTCTTGGGCAATCGGATCTCGGCGACCCATTTGCCCCAATGTCGCTGTCTGACTCCTCGGTAGAGTTTTGCCGGTTTTGGAGGATTACCCTTTAAACGGCGACGTTGCAGTGAAGGTGATGCGATATGGCGAGGCGTGTTGTAGTGGAATTGGGTCTGAATTTGATGAATCTGAGATTGAGTGAGGTGGTTGAGCCTGATCGGAGTGGTGGAGATGGAGGAATCATGGAGGAGAGGAGGAGGAGAAGAGGAAGGAGTGGTGGTGATAAGTGGTTGGAGAGCTTTCATCAACTCTTGGGTACATGGATCTGACAAATCTGGCATCATGTTGGTGATATGAAGCATGAACAGAGAGAGAGAGAGAGAGAGAGTTAAACACTGGAACAGAGGAGAGGTTGGAGAATCGGGGAAGATGGAAGCTTCTCTCTGTGCTTTTCGTGTTGGCCGGAGTTTCTCTATTTATATACACCGTGGCTCCACGGTTTTAGCCTCTAATGCTTTCTCTCATCACCACAGTCCTATGTTCCACACTGCAAATGTGCACTAATGAAATTTAGCTCGTTAAAAATATAAAAAATATTTTTTAAAATTTTCTTTTTAAAAGTCAAAGGTTATTCTTTTCTTATCCTTATTATAATACACTTTTAATTATTTCATGAAAATTAATGAAAAATAATTAACTTGTTAAATATTTTAAAATGATTTTTTTAAATTTACTTTTATAAAAAAATAAAATATATATATATATAATATATGATGAGTCATAAAATTAAATTTAAAATAATTATAAAATTAAAAATGGTACTTATTATAGATGATTAGCCTTCAACATTCTTTATATCAAGGACTAAAAAAATCTTCCTAAAATGTGATGTATAATAGAAATTAGAGGGAGTACATTAAATGACAAATTAAAAAATCTTCTTATTTAGTTGTTCTAGTAGCAACGTTACATCCTTTATTTGGAGGAGGTTTTTAGCTCAAATTAAACATCCAACTCGTTTTAACTTGATAATTATGAGGGTCAGGTTTGAATTTTAGAGTTTTAAAATATAATACAGGTTTATAAAGACTAGCCCTAATGAGACAAGGGCCTAAACAGGTTGGCTCTGTAGGATTGAGGGCCAACCCATTTAAGCTCATTTATTTATTTATATTTTAAAATATTATTTATTATTATAATATTATTAATATTTTTGGTAATGTTTTAAATACTTAGTTATTATAGCAGTTTTTTTAGAATTAAAATTTACATAATACTTTGATTTGTTTAATATTTTTTGGATAAAGTTTAATTTTTTTAATTCTAAATAATGATATATTTGGACAAAAAAGTAACTATTTGATCTAATTTAAATTTTAGACAATAATTTGATTCATGTTACGTATGTGTGTTAATATTTTTAAATTATATTTTTTAATAATAGATTATTTTTATATTTATATAATTTTGCATTGTATGACTTGAATTAAGAATTTATAAATTTTAATTTTATTATTTGAAATAAAAAAATTTTGTATAATCAAGATATTGTTAATATTAAAAATTAAAATGTTGTCTATGTGATTTAATATTGAAGTAAGATTTTATATTATAATAGAATGAATAAATTATTTTTAATTTAAAAAAAAGACTCGAAGCCTGCAAAGCCAACCCTAAGCCCATGATACTTAGGGTCGGGCTTGAGATATAAGCTCCTCAAAAAAAAAATTCAAGCTTAAATGAGCAAGTTTTTTTAAGTCTAAGCTTGTTTTGTTTTTCCAACTCTATATATAAGTGAGTGGTTTTGTTTTTTTTTCACAAGAAAATATTAGGTTAGAGGTAAAATTCAAATCTACTTATAATATCTAATTATTTATAATGATAAAAAATAAAAAAAAATAAATAATATGAATATTATTAAACTAGACTTATATTTTGAAAGAAAAAACCTGGACAAAAGGATTTATAATATCATGAACAAAGGGAGTATTTTCTTCTTTCTTTTTTTTTACGTATAAGCATATTTTTATTGGAAACAATTTTGTAAACACCGCGAGAATTTAAACTTAAGTTTATTATATTATGAATGATTAGCTTCTGTTCACTAAATCTGGTGCGATTGGTGTATTTTTTATTGTAAATTTGTAATCACAAACCAGATCTTAATTATTCTCTTTTTTATCACTCAATCGCTTTCCTCTTGTACTAATGATACAGATTGGCCATTGGTCAAATATTTTTTAAATATGAATGTCATCCAATTGGTCAAAAAATTTAAAAATATGAATACTATAACAATCACCGCGTCAACTTCAACAATTCCAATATTCCATGAAGGCTAGCCAATGGATAAATGCCGTGTGTATTCTACCCGAACGATACTGGTATCCAACGAAAGCCGGCAATACACATGTCCGGGTTCTATTGGTTGAAATTTAAGCACACAGGATATGGGTTGGCGTGCAGTGCACTCAAATTGTCAACTTTGCGTCTTCAAGTTTTGCTGTCATATGTTTGTCCACGTCGACGTTATCATAAATTCTATGGCACAAATGTTTAGGACTCTAGGTTTAGGCATGAAGGGGGTTAGCTAAAAATGTAATACTCCCTCATAGTTTTCAAATATATATATATATATATATAAATAATTAATTTACATGGTTTAAAAAAATTAATTAAGTATAATAATTATATTTAAAATTAAAAATTAAAAAATTTGAACTAAATTATTCTATAATTATTGAAACAAATCTATCTAGTGAAAATAAATATTAATTTTATAAGGGACAATTTTAAAAATATATATATGATAAATGATCCTTGAAATTTATAATTTTATTTATAAATAAAATAAAAAGACATTATAGTTTCCTTCATATTTAAAAAACAGAGGGAGTAATTTATTACCAAAAAAATACGAGTCTTGCTGGCCGAAGGTTCTAGAATAGGAGTATTAGAATAACATGAGTTGTTGTCCAGAGTGTGTGAGAGGGAATTTTAGATAAGGAAATAAAAAGAAAAAGGATGAATAATGGAATGAAGATTGAAGGTGGTGAAAGGTTAGAGACAAAGCGTGGTGGATTGCGGCGGTGGGGATGGGGAGGAATCTGTTGTTTTCATTGGAAAAGTGAGAAGTGGTGAGAGGATGAAGAATCGAATAGAACAAAGATTGAGTTGTTGTTTGTTGGTTGGATGTATCCATCCTATGTGCCTAAGCCTTCTCTCTTCCCATCTCCATTCTTCCCATCTCCATCAATTACCACACCATAATTGAAATGTTTTAATTGTAGATATAAGTGAACTGATCATAATAGGGGGGAAAAAAAGACCAGTTCACAGGTTTATTATATGTTTGAAATGTTTGAAACCATCAATTTATAATTTTAATATATACTATAAAAGTCCAAAACCAAGTAATCTGAACTCATTGAAAACTCAATTTAAAACATAATAGTAATAAAGATGAGATCCCAAGTTTGGAAAACTTAACCTAGATAAAAACAAGTTTACATTAGAGGTACAAAACACACGGAAGCAGGAATTACCAATTATATTTGAAAACAATTGCAAATAGGATTACAAATGTCATTTTTCAGCAAAATGAGATGTTTGCTATGGCTAAGGGATGTTGCACCACGGCTAATGCCCTCTGCGCCATGCGTCGTGAATTACACAGACCAAATGACAGCTCTTTGCTGTCAAATTCAATTTCTAGGGCTAAACTTACGGTATGTCCCAAATTTTTGTTCAATATTTAATTGAAGTGATTTAGGTATTTATAAAAATCTTATTTAGCTAATTAGCTAATGGCACTGCCTTCGTTTTCAAATTATTCTATACCAAAGAGTTGGACATTTAAATTCAAACTAGTCATATTTTCACACTTTTCACCACTGAGGTGTCCAAAATCCAACTCAAATGTCAAAAGCTCAACCAAACCTCTAGATCACACTCAAAGGATCTAGAACAATTTGTATAGTACACCACATCAATCCAAAATTACATATAACTGAAATTAATCCTCAACCTCATGACCTTCAAAAACAACTAGGGGAGATTTTCAATAGAAATTTATGAAATATTCATCTAATAATATCAAGTTATCCATATCTATACTTGCATTGATATTTTAACTTTGTACATATACTTCATCACATATAACACTAGACCTAGGGCCCAAAATACATTTAATCAAACTAATCATGCAATTAGTGCAAGCACATTAAAATGTAATCTTAGTTGGCAATATCAAATTAAATTACACATATCTAAACTCAAAATACTATGGACATATAGTAGGAATAAAATTCATAAGTCTAAAGTGTTTTTCCCTTTGTCTTACTCGAGTCTAGTGTCTATAAAATGTTAACTAAAGGATGAGTATAACTACTCAATAATTAAAGAAGTCTAATCTATGAGCATGCGAGTTAATCAATTCTTGTAATGCAAAGCCAGCATTTATAACAAACATGTTCTATTTGTGAATCATATGACTATATCCATTCACATATTTACATTTCAACAATGCACAACATAGTCTAGTTACAAACTTGACAATTATGTGACATTTAATTCAATGAAATGCATAATTGATAACCTCCCTTATAGCCTCATGACACTTTTGATTGAAACTGTAAACTATTAAATCAAATAGGATTATGACTGTGTGAATAAACTAACCCAAACTCACCAATCATCAGAGCTACTTGGTCAAATGTTACACTCACTCTTAGATCATGATTTTCTCCATTCATTAATCTCTAGAGTGTCATCAACCCTAAAATAGTAGAATGAGTGGTTAACCACAAGTTATCAAATGGCGGCCATATTATGTGAATTTCTCAATGCTTATTTTTCTAATAAGACAAACTCCCACCAACCATGATGTTGTAATATACACATGCTTAACAACTAGCATGCCATTATTCATTTCATCATGCTCTTCACATTTATCACTTCTCATGCTCAATCAACATCATCATAATCACATCTCATAATTTCATTTACATTCATCATATTCAAGAAACAACGTGAAATTCCTATTTGAATGCCTCATTGCTAATTATCACTTTCAACATCTCAACTCATATCACCAAAATCTCATTTAATTACAAAATACTCAAAATCACTTTAACAGTCAATTTCAAAAGCCACATTTGTATTTATACATTTCTAAAACATGAGTCATTTCATAGTAAATGTCAAAGTAATTTCACATGTGCAAAACACATTCACAAAGCTCTAATATATTCTTAATTAATTGGGGAGTAAACTTTTAGGATGTCACATAAGACACCTCTAATATATTCTTCATTTAGAATTACTACGATATTTTTAACCAATTTACACCTCCCAATTAGTTAATTAAAATTATACATTATTTTTATGTTTATTCTTATTTAATAGGTTATCTTACTTATAAAATCTTATTTATTACATATATAATTAAGGGTATTTT